GGTAGCGAGGAACACCTTCCTTCAGCTTCGGCTGATTAATCAGCTGCGCCCCTACCTGGAGTACGACTGCCTGGCGACGGTGACACACGCGCTGGTGACTTCCCGCCTAGACTTCTGTAACGCGCTTTACGTGGGGCTTCCCCTGAAGACAGTCCGAACACTTCAATTGGTGCAAAATAGAGCTGCCAGGCTGCTGACGGGGATGGGGCGTTATGCTCACATGACTCCAGTCCTCCGTCAGCTTCACTGGCTTCCTATTGAAGCCCGGGCCCAATTCAAGGTGTTGATTATGGCCTATAAAGCTCTAAACGGCTTGGGTCCTGGCTACCTGAACGAGCGCTTACGTCCATATATGCCCGACCGCCCTTTGAGATCTGCGGGAGAGTCCCTTCTCCGGGAACCCTCCATGAAAGAAATTAGGAGAGTAAGTACCCGGAGGAGGACTTTCTCTGCGGTGGCGCCCAACCTATGGAATTCACTCCCCAAAGAGGTCCGCCTGGCACCGTCGTTACGGGTTTTTTGGCGCCAGGTAAAGACCTTTTTATTTAAACATCATTTCAATTGTTAAAACATATGATCTGGCCAGGGCAACTTCTTCTTCCTTCTCTTTCTCCCCTATATTTTTATTTTATACTGATAATTTTAATTTTATATTTGTAAATCAATGTATTTTTTGTATTTTTATATTTAATGGTAATTTATTATGTACTATTGTATTTCAATGTATTTTATCATGTTGTAAGCCGCCCCGAGGTTTCGGCAAGGGGCGGCATAGAAATGTTATAATAATAATAATAATAATAAAAAAACCCGTTAGGGTTTGCCAGCTACATGCCATAACATTGTACTTCCGGCATTATACAGAGTTGTTGTAGGAGGCAGGTAAGGAAAAAGGTCATATTTTCCCTTTCCCACTTTCCTACTCCTCTAGTTAATAACCAAATACTCAGATTTGGAGCTGGCAGCCTCTTGCAAATCCAAACTTTCCTGTGCTATATAATACAGCAGAGAAGGCCCTAGGAGAGTAACAAAGGTATCCTCTGCAATTGCAGGTTGTGGGGAGCCCTGAACAGGAGCAATAATTACAGCGGAGGAGGGCCATTTACAGGACATTAACTTGCTTCATGCATTTGCTGAATGCGTATCTATCTTGTACAATGACCTAATCTCTCTATGGGGGGAATGTGTTCTACCTTTACTGAAAATCCATGGAGAAGAGATAAGCAGTCCAAACAATCATTTACTTCAGTGTAAACAGAGTTATGACTGTAATTGTCTCTATTCTGAATGTCCTGTGCTCCATTTTTAATCATCCTTCAAAGTAAATAGTAGAACATTTTAGGCAAAATCAAGAGAAACTTAAGGACAATTAAATTTACTTTGAAATCAGTAGAAATGAAATTGTAATCTCAATTATGCTTAAGGGAAACAACTTCTTTTAGATTCTTTGTGATGCTACTGCTGCATTAAGCAAGCTGATCCTCTCTTAGAACTATTATAACATTACTATAAATATCTGTAAATTTTGCATTGCTCAGTTGAAACACTATGCTGATTTTTTTAACATGATAGGCATCTTTTTCCTTAGGTCATGCATACTTTTAGAAGCATTTTCAATGAACAACAAACAATGAGAACATTTCCTGTCTATGATGCTGCCAGTACACCTGTTGTGGGCCCCAAAATAGCTTTGAAAAAGAAAGCCAACTGGACTCCTTTTATAAAGGTAAAAACAACCAAATCCAATGTACAGATAATGTCTGGTCTAGGAAGCTGCTTTTGAGCCTCTGACTCGAAGTGTCCACATTCCCCATAGCAAATAGCTATGCACTTAACATTGAACTTAAGGGCTGCAGTCCTGAGGGTGTTGTGTACAAACAGGTTGCAAGACATGATTCAGGAGAACAAATACATGATGGTAATTCCCACCTCTGATAGAGGTGAGGAGTTGTTTGGACAGAGTTAGAGGACAGCTATTAATTCAAAAGTTATTAATATTGTCTAAGAAGACAGAACAAGGTAGTTTTGGGGATAGTAAATGGGGGAAGCCACATACAGAAACTTTTCTGTACTACTTTCTAGCAAACTCCTGGATCAAGCCCAAATCTGTGGGGTGCTTGTTTTTTCCCCACCATCCATTGTATACCTGGAGCTAATCTGGATACAGAAAACAGTTTGTCTTCATCCATCCCCTTTGCTGGATTAGGGTGCTCAATGTATTTCCTGCATGGGATACTGCTTTACACATCTACACTCAATGTTCTTTCTTACAGATTAAACCTCAACAAGATCCATGGCAACAAAAGCTGCTAATGAAACTGCAACAGTGGAAAAAGATAGATGAACTTCTGCAGCTTCAGTCAGTGTTTTTACAGGTAATTAGAAGTGATTTTTTTTCCTTTTTAGTTTTTATTAAGAACATTTTGGTGAATGTATTACTTGGATACACTTCTCTATCAAACCTTGTCAGTTGTGTTGTGATATGCAATTAATGTATATCTAGATATAATTTATTTTACTTTCAATGGATCAAAATAATTCCAGGAATTTCAGGATATTCAAAAATAAGTAGGATAATTAACTGGGAAAGGATTCTACAGCTGCTTAACCAACTCAGGCAAGCATGGAGCTTCCTTTCCACATTCTCTCCCACTAATTTGGAACATACCTGAAATTCTGCAATACTTGTATTGTTCTCCTTGATATTTAAGCTTCTTTGCCTTTTCTAAAATTGAAAGTCAGTGTGACGTGGTGGTTAGAGAATTGGACTGGGGATGCAGGAGATCCAGGTTCTAGACCCCACTCAGCCATGGAGCTCACTGGGTGACTTTGGGCCAGTCACTAACACTCTGCCTAACTCACCCCACAGAATTGTTCATGTGAGGCTAAAATGGAACCATCTAGCTTTCTTCACAAGAAGAAATGCTGGCAGGATATAAATGCAATGTAATAGTAACCACCATCACCATCATTGGTTAGTTCCTTACTAAGGCTATTGTCTTATGCTACAAATCTGAGAATAAGCTCCACTGAACACAGTAGGACTTACTTCTGAGTAGATGTGTGAAGTTAAACTTTGTTCCCATACAAATCAATGAGGAGGTTAGTCATGACAGCCTAAGTGTGATTGGTTTCAGTGGGAAATAAGGTCAACTAACATCATCTATATCCAGCCCATACTTTTTTGGCTCATCCTTCATGCACACCGTGAACAATTGCCCTGCCTATCTGTGGTCCAGCTTTTCCTTCAGTAACTTGCTCCTGAGACAAGTTCGGGGTTTGAGCTGATTCCTGTGGATTATCCCCAATGGTACTATCAACATAATTTTCAACTGTAGCCCCCCCCCCCCCCGCACCACTCCCCACAACTAAAGGCCAACAAATGCTTTTAAATGGGATGGACAAGCCTGATTTCCAAAGCCTTCTACAAGCAATGGGTTCAAACCTTTGATAAGTTATCTTCAGCAACCTTCTAAGTAGGGATGAAGAAGGAGGGAATAGGTGTCAGAAAAAGAGGGAAAAACAAAGTTGACTCAACTAAATTCTGGTTGTGATCATGCCCACCCATGGCTAGCTTTGGCCTTGGCTATGCTCGCATTCAGTCACTAACAGATGAATTTTGAGGGAATCACCAGGGCCCTTAATACTTAAGATTTCCCACTTCTTCCTTATGGAAATGCACAAAAGTAATATTTGTGTTCATCAAACTATAACAAGCTTTGCGAAGCATTGGACCAATATCCTAAAGAAATTAACATTCTTTTAGATTGCCTGTCTAGGGATACTTCACTTCTAATGTTTTCTGCTGGGAGAGAAGGGGGAAATTGCCTGGTTATGAGGAGAATATTATACTTCTCCATGTCTTAGTCTATATGATTTTGGCAAATTGCAAAACGTTGCTGTGACAAATTAGGCTTCCAATCTCGAGTGGGTGATGGAGGTCCTCCAAGAGCAAGCAGCAGCAGCATTACAGCCAAGGCCGATGACATCAGCTTCCATGACTTCTAATCCACAGTCATATGATCAAATCTGGAAAAATATTTACCACAACTTAGAACTCTATCAGGTAAGAGGAAGGGGAAGTGCATGCTGATACTGGATTTTTCATACATTTTTGGAATGAGTTTTCTTTACATTCACTGAGAACCCTCCATATTAGTATAAGTTTTAATAATGGTGTAACTGAGCTTCACTTGTATGAAATTCCTGTTTTATCTTGTGATGACTTTGGTTTTTGTTCCATAATTGTCTGATATTGTGCAAGATAAGAACCAGTTACAGAGTCTTGCATTTTCTCACTTCTGATAGTTATGCAACAGTATGAGTCATGTCAATAAGTAGTGTAGTGGTAAGAGTGCTGGACTGGGACTTGGGAGACCCAAGTTCTTAGTCCATGCTTGGTCATGAAGCTCACAGGATGAGTTTGAGCATGGCATTGGCTTGCAGCCTGATCTAACTTACAGGGTGGTTTTGAGAATCAAATGAAGAGGAGGAAGACTATGTAAGCTACCTTATGTTCCTAAAGAGGAAAAAAGAAGAAATGAAGGTATTACAATAAATAAAATAATGAATGAATTTTTGTTCAATGGCTATCCTGATTGGTATCATCTAAGTCATCCTATTATTTATCATGCACATTATTACATGAGCTTTAATCAGTGTCTTACATGGTCTGTGTTCCTTCCCAGTTTTTCTTGATGGTTTTGCAGTGCCAATCACTGCCTCAGCTTAAAAATGGTTGTAGATTTTGAAAATCCAAAAGAAAAAAAAAGCACAACATGTGGCTTTCAAGCTAGCTTGCAGAACTCTCCATCAGGCATCTGGCCAGGGCGGCTTATTTTATATTGTATGTTTGTATTTTATTCTAATGTTTATATTTTTAATTTATTATTATTATTATTTAATTTATTGTTGTAAGCCTCCCCGAGGCTTCGGCGAATGGGGCAGCATAAAAATGTTTTAATAAATAAATAAAGGAAGACAAAGGTAGAGGAGAAAAGAAAAAGATGTTGCTGTATGATGGCACATTAAAAGCCCAATATGCAAAATGTTACTTTCTAGAAATGGTAATTCAACAAACACGCAGTGGACTGATGATATTGGACTGTCTTCAGTGCAAAAGATCACAGTGCAAATCCCCCCACTTCTTCTGTGGCATCCTGGAAGAAGTGGGGTTTGCACATCCTTCATCTTGCCTGCCTCTCCCAGAGACCCAGGTAACCTCCAGGCCAGGCCACACAGCTTCAGGAAGGGTGTGAGTGGGGCCGTAGAAGAAATTTAAGACTTCATCAGCAAGATGGGCATTCTCTGTGGGCCCAAGGTTGTTCACCTGGAGACTATCCACCCAGAGATTCCTTTGTTCATTGTTTACTTATAGATAACACCAAAAAATTAAAATGTGTATTTATGTGTTCGACCCTAATAACTAGTCATTTACTATGGGCAGGAACAACAAACAATTGATGATGACACTGATGATGTTAATAGTCCTGCTGTAGTAATCAGTGATAGAGGCTTGGATAATGCCAACCTTAATAAGGGTTCCACTTTTTCAAGAAAGAAGAAAGATCCAAGGTAAAACTCTCACTGCTGGCTCTCTATGTGCTGTGCTTATTTCTTCACGTGACATTGGAAATATATATTGTAAAGTATATCTGTGTAATGTACAATTTATGAGCAGCAGAAGTTCTGGGTTCCTAACTGGGACATTCTTCTCACAGCTGTATGTGTGTATATACTTTCTGGTAAAAAGTACAGCTGACCCTAGGTTATTTCGTGCAAGGACTAATAAGGAACACTCCCACTGGGACCCATGCTAGCACCTTGTTCCATTTCTTAGCTGCTTCCCTTTCATGGGCTGTGCTACCAAAGCACCACACAATCAAAGGCAAGACCCACATTAATCCTGCCTTTTGTGTGCACCTGCCTCAGCTTTCTTTGCTACCCACAGTAGCCCTGCATGCTGTAATAACCTCTTAAGACTCCCACAGCATGCCATGTCCATCTGCGTTCAATAAATGAACGTAGGAGCCTGCATCTTTATGCACTTGATACAACACAGTCTTTGTACTACCAGTGTATGGTTTTCTCTCCTTCTGCTTCTCCTCTTGCACTTGGTCGCGGTACAGGCACCAGTATTTAGGCAGGCTTGCACACTGAAAATTCCCTATCTTTTCCATTTCTTTTGCATATTAAATAAATATATAGACCACCTTTTAGAACACGGGCATCTTTACCTTTCATTCCTACTTGCTTGGATTCCTTTGTTCATCCTAGCCCACTGTTGGCTGGGCAGCAAAATTAAAATTCTTCCTGCTTCAGTAGATGGGGTGATGGTTAGTGATGGAAGGAATGGAGCAGGTGGCATACCACTTGCACTCCATATGCATTGCAAAGGTTAAACATGCCCTATCTGGATTGAAGCCCCTCAGTCCTAACTGGCACATTAACGCCTTTCCTACACAAGTATGACTGCATTTAAACACTGCTATGCATATATTTTCCTTCATCACTGGTAATGCTAATGTGGTGCAGAATATCATATGTAAGTAATTTCAATGGGGAGTTCATTTTGAGAAAGCAAATAAAGAGATTGTTTTAATTTAGAAATCTCTTTGAAGATCAGTGACTGAATTAAGTTTCTTCTTCCTGGGAAAATAAATGTAGTTACACCACCACCTTGCAGCTGCTGGGGTTAGATGAGGACTTGGATGCCAGTGACAAGGACCTGACCATGAGGAAAGGTGCTTACTCGAGTCTCCTCTGTTTGCGTCACTTGAGAATCAGAGAACTGCAGGTAAAAACATCTGCAAAAAACACATACCTGAGTTATATTGTACAAGGCTGCTAAGGCAGCATGAATCTGGAGGGTGGTAGGTCAGTAGAAGAGCACTTGCTTTGCATGTGGAAAGCCCCAGTTTCTGATCCTGGTAACTTCATCAGAGAGGCTGGGGAAAAAACACTGCCTGAAACCTGGACAGGCACTGCCAGTCAGCCTCAACAATACCATGAATTCAAGGTGGAATCATCATGCTATTGTTGTTACTTGGCTTTTTTTTTTTGTTACAATATCATTACTTCCACCTTCAAATGTATTTGTACTAGAGAATTAGCTTGGGAATCCTCAACTACTTCAGATCCATTGAAAGAACCCTTACAATCAGCACCTCAGGTCTTGCATTGAGTTCTGGTCATCTGATCTCCACTGCTGAAGATTCCTCTTGGATAAATGCAGCAAAAGGCGGTGCTGGTGCTTTTGGTGGTCTTGCCTCACATTCCTATATGCATAATACACCAGCTGACTATAAGGTGAGAAACTGGATTACTTCCTAAAACATCTACATAGATGTACAACTAAATAATAAAAAGTTGCAACTCTAGAATCAAGGGAGAACTTTTAGAAGTCCCAAACTGGAGCCTTAAAGGAAATCCTCAGCTTGGGTATACTGATGACAAACTGTATTTATCTAGGCTGATAAGGCATGGACTGAAAATCTAAGCCCACAAGCCCTGTGTGGAAATGTCTGTAGGAATTATGTGTCTGATACAGAGCTGTTCTTCCTTATCTGCCATTTAAAGGTGGAAAGAGACAGCATCTTTTCTTAGAAGTGTCCCACTAATCTCACTGGGTTATCATCCCTGGTAAGGGTGCTTCGGACTGCAGCCTTGTAGTTGTCTGTTCTACAGATTTGTCCAGCATTCTAAATTTACCTCTAACCAGAAACTTGGCTGTTTGGCTTCTGTTGTGTCAAGGGCGGAGAGAAAGATGGAAAACCAAATAAGCCCGTATCTGTGTGCAAAGTCCTTTCATACACACCTGAGTTGATGCTGATTTTCCCATTCAGGCTACAGCTTCTTACACCCAAACCTTGAGCAGGGAAGTCCTCCAAGCCCTGTCTCCTTGAAGAAGCAGAATAGGCTCTGCAAACCAGTTGTGGAGTATGATGTGGAAACCTAGACCATTGTGGCGTGAATCACACATCTTGTTCCATATCAGCCAGTTATGGGTTCTGCAGTAAAAGTGGAAGAGGCTGATGCACTGCTGGTAGCAGCTGGTAGCACAAACTCATGCATAGGATTCTGTCATTTTTCAAACAATTGGGTTATTGTCATATGCAAACAATGACCTGACCTGTTTCAAACAAAACCAAACCCAGAATATGGGTTGTTCCTAAATCATGGGGTTTTCTGTTGTGTGTACACAGCTGCACTAACAAATCATGGCTTGCTAACCATGAACAACCCATGTTTTGTCTAGCTGATAATCAAATGGTGTTTTATTTTGGAGTTGTTTCTCTCCTTGTTTGCTAGCAACCTCACTGTAGTCTAAATGCCTCTGTAGTACTGTAAAACTGTCATATGTGGTGCATTACAATCATTACTGTCTTTTACCAGTCTCGCCCACTGCCTCAGTAGTTTAACACAAGCCATGAACAACCCACAGTTCTGGGTTCACACATAGTGACAACTCAAGGCTTAAGCAACCCATATCATGTACAAATGTACAAACCCAGCCTCCATCAAGAAATGATTTTTACTTTGTTTCTCTTTAATTATGGAAACTTATCCCAACATTTCAGAGGCTAATTAAATACAGACAGAAATTTGGGCCAGCATTCTTCCCACACAAAGCAAACCCTGCTTCCACTTCCAAAGTTATATTACCAATCAGAATTGAATCTCCCCATTCCCCAACCCTGTAGCCTGTTGAATCGCATCCCTCCAAACTTCTCTAAAGCCCTTGAAGGTGCCTTCTTAATTCCATATACAAAAAAGCATGATTTTATTGAGTATTACCTGTTGAACTGGCTTCATAATTTCTTTTCTTTTTAAAAAAAATCTGTCACTGCACAGGTTCACAATGCACAATTTATGGAGTTTGCTGAGGTAGAAAATCACGATGATTTCTACACTACAGAAGGAGTATACATCCATACACAGGATCAGAGAGGGGCTTTTGTGATGTATGATTTAGCTCTCCAAGACTTGAAAGAGCTAGAAAAACAGCTTTTGCTTGTGGCAACCCAGTACATTGAGGCAGACAAAGGTATGGTGGCTGTGCAGACATAGCTCTGAGATACCTTCAACACACCTGTCAGCACAGTGCTTGCATAGTCACTGTGTAAACTGAGTAGAAACAGGTAGCTGCTTTTGATCAAGCACCTGCAGTCCCTTTTCCTTGTTTCCTTGTTTACAAGCAATTTTAGCAAGCAGTTAATCACACTGAAAAAATGAGGCACTGGCCTTCAGCTGCTACACTATCTTCATTTAATTTCCTATGTGGCCCAAAGGCATTCTGGGAAGATGAAAGAAAAGTGGCAGAGCCCCTGGTAGCCAGCTCTCCACTTTCTAGCATGCCTGTAGTAATATATATGGTCAGCCATTATCCCAATTCCCCTTATACAAATCTAGGTATGATTGCACTAAAAATAATGTATACAGTTCAGATCACAGCATTTAAAAAGGATATTATAAAGCTGGAAAAAGAACAGAAAAGAGCCATTAAAATGTTCAAGAGACTGGAACAACTCCCCTGTGTGAAAAGGTTACCATAGCTGGAATTGTTTTGCTTAGAAAAAGGATGAGTAAGGGGAGACATGATAGATATATACAAAATTATATATGGTATGGAGAAAGTAGATAGATATTTTCCTCCCTTTCCATAAGAATATAACCTGGGGTCATCCCATGAAGCTGACTGGTAGCAGATTCAAGGAAGTATTTCTTCATACAATGCATAAACGATTCACTTCTACAAGAGTAGTGATGGCCATCAATTTGGCTGTTTTAAAAGGGGATAGGGCAATTTCATGGAAGAGAAGGCTATCAATTTCTTCTAGTACTATGCTACAGTTGCTATGGAACATAAGTGCTGTGGAACATGGGTGGAAAGGTGCTATTACTCTCATGTTCTGCTTGAGGGTCTCCCATGGGCAACTGGTTGGCCACTGTGAGAACAGGATGCTGCGAGGAGTAGGTGGACTCTTGTTCAGATCTGGCACAACTCTTCTTCCTTTTCTTAGGTCATTCTTTCAACTCATTCAGCATTAGCAGAAGTCTGCTGAATGTTCTGCATGTGCAAATGTAATTTTAGCTGAATTGTGCTCTTGCACATAATTTAGAATGTAGTTTCCACCAGCACAACATCATTTACACTAGTGGAATGACTCATATTTCTCTATTATGAATTAATGAGAAAAGCCATACTGGATCAGACCAATAGTCCATCTAGTCTAGCGCTCTGTCCCCACGGTGGCAAAACAGCTTTACCACAGGATCCCTCCAACAGGATGGGTGACAGACCTCCCTCTGCCCAAGCTCCTCAGCAACTGGTAAGGCATACGCACCACCTCTGGTAAAGGAGGTAGCACATAGCCAGCCAGCCACTCACTGATAGCCTCCTCTTCCATGAATCTATCCACTCCCCTTTTAAAGCCATCCATTTTGGTGGGCATCACTCCTTTCTGTGGCAAGGTTAGTGAATGCTGAGGGAGGTGCCTCAGGATTACGTGATGTCTTCAGATGCCAGCTGGGAACTCCAGGTGTAGGTTCACAACAGTTAGATTATGTGAGAACTCTAATAGTGCCCAACTGAATTTGGTGGCCTCTGAAACCTTTATGTGTATGTAGACTGCTGATTTATGTTGTGTGAATTCTTTTACCAAATGAATATGCAGAGGTATGGAAGTGGGGACAGGATTCATTTTCATCTTTTGAATCAGCATCGTTAACTTAAATTGTTTGTGGTTTCTTAGCCTGGTGGTTTTTGTGAAATTGTCTGTTGTGCTTTTTCCTTCTGAGGCTACAAGGTGTGCAGTGAGCCCCGCTGTCAGGGCTTCTCTGAGTGGGCACATGCGTCAGCAGATCGATCTGCAGTACTGCTCGACCTTTGGACTTGTGAAACAGCTTTCCTGGAAAATAAATGGCAGGTATCAAGATCCATGCTTTTTAAAATTAAGAACTTTATAATCACTGCAGTAAATTGTGTGTGTTTAAGAGACAAAAGTATGAGGTATGAACCAGCAAATGATAGGCCAAAAAATCTTCCCTCAGAGCAACTTCTTTGGTATTTCTTTTTATTGAGAGCTCTCCATTACTATCATATGAAATTAAAGCATTTTTTAAAAAATAAAGTAAACCTTTCTTGGTTTGTTTCAAATGTCTTTTCAGCTTGTGGATAGTTACTTTGAAGTGTACCAACATGCTTTGGATTCAGAGGAAAGATTTGCTTTGGTTCAAGTAATAACGGACATCATGCATAGGCGCCCTCGATTTGATTTCCACCTTGGGTATTTTGTAAACACCTATCAAGATGAGTGTGTTTGCCTTAAGCTTCACCTACAGTTGGTGAAGGACATATTGAACCAACAGGTGAGTAGATTGTGAGTTTATGTGAGATAGAACTAGTGCTCCTTTGAAGCACTTTGAAGCACTTTGAGTTGGTACGAAGGTCAGCTTTAGAACCAGTTCTCAAGGCAACAAAAGCTACTCAATTGCACAGGAAAATAAAATTTTAGTTTGGTCCAGTGTTCATGCCAGAGCAATTGTATAACCACAATGTTAAAATAGGTACACTGTTTACCTAATGTTTTTTAGATAGTGGGAGAAAAGACAAAAGTTATGTTCACTAGCGACCTCAACCTACACAGTTTGCCACCCCATCTTCCTACAACATTGTTGTAACTTGCTGGAAATGTTGTTAGATACCTTCCAGAAAGCTTGCAGGAATTGCTGCATTTTATTTCAAGAGTTTTTTCTTTGTTTAACTTTCAGATAGATAGCCAGCGTGAATATAACCGTAAGGTTTGGCGTGATGGCCCCAAAGGTGGCATCTGTGAATTTGGTTTGCCTCCATATATAGTTCCAAAGCAATTAATTGCTGTGAATAATAGTCCGTGAGTAATATTTGTGTCTCTGTAATGGAGCCCACCTTTTCTTTCTTTCTTAATCAAAATCATACACAAAAGTCCCACCCTTACCCATTTGAATTACTCTGGTTAAAGTAAGCTAATCAAGCTGGGTGGCTGAATAGCTTTGTTAGTCAGCTGTATCGCCACTCTCATGCTTAATGTAACATTTTTACCTGCATGCATGTAAGTGTTTATACATATATGATTTGTTGTGGATTAATAAGATAATTGCACACAATCATGTTTTCTAACTCTATAATACCTTCCATTATATAAAGTTTTTTGTGGGTTTTTAAAAAAGATTCTATAATGAATTGATCTATTTCAAGTTGCTCAGACTGTCACAATCGTGGCTGTCCTCAAAGTGAAGGGCATCTTATAAGTGTGAGTTTTTATTTTCTTCATTGGTTTGCTTAGTGTGCAATCCTATGGCCTCCAGACATCATCTGTGAGGCCATAGGATTATTTGGAGTCTCAGCTCTGAGATCCTCAGGACAAGGCCCTGCTCTGTCCAGCTTCTAGCTGGCATGGAATGAGACATGCTGGCTGTCTCTCTTGTAACAGGGTCTCAGAGAGTTGTGCCAGGAGCAAAAAGGAGAGGAGGTTGGGACCAAGGCTGTACACAGTTTCTTGTTGGCATCCAGCCTCCTTCCTTCCCTTGCCTTGACCCTTTGACCACTGACAGCTGAAAATGGCTGTCTAGATAAAATACCTGGCTGAAGGCATGGGGACAGTGGAGAATGCTGCTGGCATACCTCTTTTCAGGCACAGGATGCATATAAGCCTCTGAGTTCATGGGCTTACATGCATTTAGGGCACAGCACAGAATTGTACCCCTCTTTATCTTGGCTTCCTTTATTTTGACCTTGACTGTGAATATGATAATCTGAAAGTTTGGCTTACTTGTCTCTTTTGACACAAGAACATTTTCTTTTGGTCATGTACTGCCTATTTATTTTTTATCTTTCCTCCCTTTTCTAAAGTACCGCTTTGAAGAATGTTTATTTATTGGAGTTCCATCCCTCCCTTGGCCTGGTGTCTTTAATTCCTAAAGCTCTGGCTCATGTCCTCCAGGAGTTCCAGCAAATCTGTTGGCCAAGGACAGCCAGTGAGGCAATTAATCTGGAGAAATGTGTACTTCAACTTGCACTGGATGCTTGGCTGACTATGGAAAGTCCAGAGTGTTTTTATGGCTCCCAGCTTCAGAAAGATGTACGTTTGTCTTCTTTCTCATTTTTTGTTCTGGTGATTTTTAAAACTTCCTTGAAGTAACTTGGGCTGTGGTGTTATACATAACCCTTGGCATTGAATTAAATGGGACTTATTTCTGAGCAGACATGCATAAGGTTGTGCTGCTTCCATGTCCCTGCTGTCCTGCTGATGACTCAACACAGTCACGATGCTTATAACAAAGGAGCGCCAGTAAGATCCTGGCAATACCCTGTGCACCATAGTTTGGTTCCTTGCATGGCAGGGTTGAATATAGCATGAACTCTGAAAGGATTTGTATTTTTGAGCTGGGCAATTATTTGTTGCACTCTTAGAAGGAGCTGATTTCTAAATGGATGCATCAAATGTTCTATAAGGCTGAAGTAAGGTACATAATTGAGCATTTCCTACAATTATGCTCACCTGCTTCCTCAGATGATTTCGGAAGGTCCTCTTGCATGACCTGCTGCCACCTATTTGGCTGTCAGGAACATGTAAGAGATTGTTGAGCCTGGTTTGAGGTGGAACGCCTCACATCAGAAGAGCCATTTTGCTCTCACCCTTCCACCCAAATTTGATGTATTTCTTCCCACAGGCAATTGACCTGCTGGGTATTTACTTATATTGGCTTTTCTCACTGACTTCCAATGACTCTTGTCTTTATATTAACTGTTGTGCTTGTATGCAATTCTTTTTTGTTATTAATATTATGCTTGTTTTATTTTATTAGTTTTATTGACTGTTTTTGATGAGCTTCTGAAGCAGAACATGAACAATGTTTTTAATAAAATAAAAATAAATAAAATCAGTTTTTCCCTATGATAGGCAATAGTAAGAAGCAATCCCAGCACTAACAATTTTAGCAAAAATTTTAAGTTACCTGTTTTAGTCTTTAGTTTCAGTCATCCCATAATGCAAGACACCTTTTTCCCATAATGGGAATAAGGAGAAAACAAAATATAGGATGGTGAGAAAAGGACAGTCTATGCATAAAATACAATTTATTTTTTCCAAAAATAAATTCCCTTTCAATAAAATACTTTGATGGTAGAAAATAAATATATATTTAATAGAATTTCATTTATACAATAAATAAAATAAATAATCTGATTTAATGTTTTTAAGTAGTATCTTTTTCTGATAGTTATTCTCAGATATTCTGGTTGAAGATCCTTCTCTTATCAGAGACATTGCTTTGTCTGCACTGAATTCAATAACAGAGGAAGAACAGAAATGGAGCAAAGAAAAACAAGCTTATATCCCAAATGTCTTCTTAAGACTCCTTGAACTTTTAACCCTTCGTCATCGATTGATAGATGCAGCAGCAGAGAGTGCACACCTGGGCAGGTTAGCAAAGACAACACAGGAAGTTTTGTTGAAACCTCTGTGAAAAACCATTTGCCCTAAATGTTTTCTTTTTGTTAATCTTTGGGGTATTATTTATTTCTTACTATATTTATATCCCACTTCTTTTCCTCCAAGGAAGCCAAGGCAGTTTACATGGTTTTCTTTCTATCCAGTTTATCCTCACAACAACCCTGTGAAGTAGGTTAGGCTGAGTGTCAGTGATTGGCTGGAGTGATGCTTCGTACTTAAAAGATCTGAGACTCATACTGACAGGACACCCAACCACACAAATTTGCATATGATAATTTACATGTTCTGTGTAATCTCTGTGTGTGTCTTTAAAGACCTTCTCCTGTATGGATACCCCATTTGTAAAAAGGAATGCATGAAAAGGGGAGAGGAGGGCATTTGGTTTCAGTATATGGAGCAGGGGGAAAGATTTGAGGGGGTGAGGCAGCAGGAGATGTTGCACATGTGGGAATGAAGTGGATTATTCAAGAGGACCAGGTGCAAGAGAGATCACCTGGTCCACTGTACCTTTGTTTCAGCGCGTGCCATGGCAGATGCTGTCCGCACACCCTGAGACTTGGAGCTCTAGTCCTAATGGACCACTCTCTAGCACAGCCATTGGTGTCTAGCCCAATGGTCCCCAGTGAACTTCATGGCTGAGTGGGGACTTGAACCTCCACCTCCTGAGCCCCAGTGCAACGCTCTAACCACTGCTCTACAGGGTTTTATATTTTGGTAAAAGGGCACATTCCAATCTACCAATACTATTGGCCTTTTGTTGACATATAGATCTCACCTGTCTTCAGAAACCACTGTTGATCAATATGTCTTTTTAATCTATTTCATCACCAATTGAAATGTCTAACCTGCTCCTCTTGCATCCAGATAAAGTATGTCTTTTAAACACTATCTTCCATATGATGGGTGTAGAAGCTGTGACCCTTACAATGTCCATTGATGCCAGCTCCTTTCAGCTCACTCAGAATGATTGTGCTTGGGAGCTGAGGTCCAGCAATACCTGAATGGTTATAGGTCACCTTCTAAACTCCAGAGGTGTTGATTCAAAAAAAAAAAAAAAAAAACCTGGCTCACAAAATTGAAGTGTATCTAACAAAGCAAGAACTGCAGTGTTTTATGCTGGCAGTGGCTAAACAACTATTTCAGGGCTAATAAAACTAGGCAGTATACAGCTCAATCTATCAACTGTACAGATAACACTGCATATACTATTATCTGTTTAGACTGTACAAAGAATTTGCAGGAGAAATGGGCTTTGATGAGTTCCATTTGTACTTAAGACCTGTGTACTTTGAGTTTGCAACTCACAAAGAGGAAGCTGACCAGTGCTCACCGATATTCATTACTTCTCTTCTCTCTGAGCACAAGGACAACAGTGTGGATAGGTAAGCCAGAGCCTTGTGGATATTTCAGTAAATGGGAGACTTCTCACAACGTGGCAACACAGCCTGCAAATAAACTACACAATATGGGTTATTTGTAGAACAATTGATTGCTTGACTACTCACTCCAGGAACATAAACAAGGTCTATATGTCATGAACTTTGGTTTCTAGATGCTAGGCATGAAAAGGTAAAAGGCACATGCTGCTACACATCTGGCCACAGAAACGTGAATGGCAAGCAAAAGATAATGCAGACCCTTCCCTGCTGAGATCTCACAAGCAACAAACACAGGCTCACTGAAGTCACTGGTCTGTGCCTGCAATGACCAAATCAGGTGTAACACAGATGTTGCACTGCTGTGCCAGTAGCCTGGCCTTTCTCAGTGGTTAGAGCAGCTGTCCAGCAGGGCTGGCCCTTCTGTTAGGCAGAAGGAGGTAGACCCTGAAATAGCAGATGCTGGGAAGGGGCGGCAAGGTATGGAGGAGGCTACCATTCCATCATTAGTGTTGGAGAAATACTCACTGGCCAGTCCATGGGAATATTGTATATGGAATGGAAAGGGGTGCCGCCTCCTCCTTGTTTCTGGCAGCAAAATGTCTTGGGCCATCCCTGCAGTCTCCCTGCTAATTTAGATCCTAGACATAGTTGTACACCTCTGGCTATAGCCTCTGTTCAGGAGGCAGACTTGTAGCTTATTTTGGAATATTAGTTCAATTAAGCAAAAGGATGAAATGCAGAATTGAAATTATCCTTTCTAACTCTTCTTATGCAGACATGTACTTTAATGCAGGTATCATGGCACCCTTCAGCTGTGTTAAATCACAACTCCCATCTTTTCCACTTAGTAGGGCCATGATGGCTGGAGAGAATGGGAGCTATACCCAACATGACTGAAGGTGGTAGCCAAGGCTGCTTTAGTTATTATTGTTTAGATTGCCTTATTCCATTCTTTCTTTGTTTTCAGTTATTCTAAATGATTTTTACTAGTAGGGCAGTATATGCATGGTATTAATAAACAGTGGGTTGTATGATTTATCAGAATCACTCATCAGAAATCTCCAGTAGCATTCAGAAACTATTAACTTGAAATCAATATGAATAAATATATCATACCTCTCAAATATCCCTCTTTGTAAGGGAGAGCCCACAATTATCTTTATTTTTAACTACCTCTTATATATACTCTGGACTGGCCAGTATTTGGGAATATGTCCAATGTTTGCTCTCCTTAAATGATATAAATGGAAAAATGTTCTGAGGAAGGAGTGAAGGCTGACATTCCTTGTAGTCCAAAAGAAAGCAGCACATTTTCATTTTTCTTTCTAGGTTGAAGTTTAATTTCTAAGTTTGTATTTTTGTTTCTGAGTAATTTGGAAATTTTCCTTCTTACAGATACATTCCATCCAACTTAACGTTAAGCATCGAGGATATTGACAATCAAATTGGAAAGTTTAGCTTTCGTACAAGAGAGAGCTTTCTTCAGGTGACTAAACTATTTTTCCAGTCAGTCTCAACTATGTAAAATTAATACTTTTCTCCCCACTCCCACTTGCTACCTCCCATTTTTGTTTTGTGTTGAATCATTTATATATGTGAACCAGCAATATTTTGAGTTCTTTTTAATCACAACTTGAAAATGTAAGTCAACCATTGTACACAAGGTTGACAGTAGGAAAAATTCTGTACCTTATGGCATGTGCATTCTGAACAATGTGCAGTGTGGATCCATGCAATTAATTAATATCATACACACACAGTTTTATAGCTTTAAGCACCTTGTAAGATCCAACCAAAGTGAAAAGCTACAATGGCAGTATGCAACATTTTAAAGCAATAAAATCTCAGCACATTTTAAAATCATGCAAGTGACCTAGAAAATCTGTTATAGAATAGCCTTCCCCAACCTGGTGCCATGCTAGCTGAGATTGATAGGAGGTACAGTCTAACATATCTGGATGATGTCAAGTTGAGGAATTTTGTTATAAATTGATGATGTCAAGTTGAGGAATTTTGTTATAAATTGGTTGTTATAAATTAATTGAAAAACCCACCTGTTCTTACTCAGGACAGCAATGCACTTGATCAGAAATGGTTTTGGGGTGGGGTGGGGAAACCAAAATCAAATTATCCTTAAGTCATATGGATTTGTTATCTGGTTATGGTTTATTGTATCTGAATGCTGATGAAAAGATTCTATCTTCGTACAAGTTTATAGCCCCTCCAGTGAATCTAAGATACATACACCTATGCCAGGAAAGAATTTTGTACTTCCTCCTCCTCCTCCTCATTTGATTTCTAATCTTTTTATTTTCATCCTTCAGCTTTTATGGAAGCACTATGGAGTAGAAAACTTGCAGACTGCTCTCGCTTGTCAAGTTGTTCATAAAAATGCTCTCCTTGCTGCTGTTCAACAGGCTGCATTTTGCCCCATGATGCAGGTCACACGCCCTGTGGACATGAAGGTTAGGATTCTCTCTTTACCTCTGCCCACCAAAGGCCAAGTTACAGAGTACACAGAGCTCCAGGTAACTTTTGCTGACCTTTAAAATGAAAAGCAGCCACAGCAGGTTGCAGAAAGACAAGGAAAAGTTAGGAAAGGTGGTGTATGTGTAACTTTGTCCTTACTGGACATCTTTCCTCTCCTCGATTTCTTCCTTCATTCTGATTCCCTGCACTCTTGCACATATACAAGTTCTTGTATCTCTTCCTTGAGGAAAGAACAATATCCTGAGAAGATATTGGAGAAGAAAAACAACTGGCATAAACAGTGGTACACCACGAACCCCATTTGACCATCTCTGCCTCTGAGTAGGGCAGGGGTGCAGAACCTCCACCCTGTACCACCCCTTGGAGTTCCTTTTGGGGATGGGGCTTGGGTTCCAAGGCCCATATCCTGGAGGACATCCCTTGAAGGGCATCCCAACTGCTATCCCTCATCTAAGATTGGTGTTATATAGCAGTTGGGACGAGTGAGGTGGTGAAACTCCCCTGTGCAAAGCAAGAGCAAATGCTTTTGTTCCCCGATAATTAGGATTGAGAGCCCAGCTCTAACCCTGGATGTCCCTTCAGCTATAACATATGAGAACTCAAGCATCCTCTAAGATCCCCCAAAGACTCTTTAGATAGGCATTCTGTGCTGAAGGGGGTAAAATTAAGAAGTGGTGTCATTCCACCAGTTTGCAGGCAATTGATTTGTTCCTGCAAATTCTTAAAGACCTAACTACTTATGGGCATGCCCCTGCTGGAACCTTTTTGGCTGAGGAATAAGGTAAAAATAGTTATATTAATTCTGCTCTCACAGTGGCCAAACAGATGCCTATAGGAAGTCGACATTCAAAGCATAAGTGCAACAGTGCCCTCCCAGTCCTACTTCCCAGCAGGCAGCATCCAGAGGAATACTAGAGGAACCAGTGTGGTGTCCTGGTCAGAGTGCCAAACTGGGCCCAAGGAGATAGGTTCCTAGTCCCCATACAGCCATGAAACTCGCTTGGCCAGACACTGACTCTCAGTCTAAGCTACCTCAGAGGGTTGTTATGAGGATAACATGGAGAAGAAGAGGATATGGAAGCCACTTTGGGTTCTTTGTGAAAAGAAAAATGGAAGTATATAAATGCAATAAATAAAAAAGTCTCTGATTCTGGAGAATGGATGACAACTACTTTTTCCCCATATAAGGCAATTAATACATTATTTATTTAATATATTACATTTACTAGAAGGATCTTAGAATGCTAAATCTCCTCTTATTTTATCCTCACAACATTACTGTGAGGTAGATTAAGCCAAAAGACAGTTCCTGGCCCAAGGTTACTGCGTGAGTTTCACAGCCTAGGAAACCTGGATCTCCCCTGCTGTAGTTGGACATTTTAACCCACCTTTCCCAAACTTTCTGCCTTACAGATATCTTGAACCACAACTCCCATAATGCTGGGATTTCTGGAAGTTGTAATCCAGAACACCTGGATATCACAAGGTTGGGAAAGGCTGTTCTAACTACTAGACCACACTGGAATCCTCTGACAAGAATGATTAATTGCCAGGGCTTATTATTTTAGGCAACTGGCTTGTTTCTGCTGATTCTTCATTGTGCATTTGCTCCTGCTGTTGTATTTATTTGAAAGTTTCTAAATGCTAAAAGCAGTGCACATACTTAATATGAAAGAAGATAATTATAGGAGACATTTGAGGCATTTCAGTTAACATCTTAATATGTATTATAAATTTTTAGCTAAGGAAACAAGGAAATAATAAAATGCCCCTTGAGTAATCTTCTGTTAGCCCTTGATTTAAGCATTAATTAAATCATCTATTGTATTTGTTCTTCAAAATCATCTGAGGATGATTCAATATGCATATGTCAAACAGTCTTCTTATTTTTGCCTCCAGACAATATTCATGTTGTTTATTAAAATACATCTGTACTTAATATATTAAAAATCCCTAAGTGGTTCTTATTACAATACAATAGAACCACTCAGATAAAATAATAAACAAAGCCCTAGGAATATCACAATACTATAATAAACAGGGTTTTAGCAGAGTTTCGCATGTGCCAGGGAAATCCTGTGTAAAATTAAGAGGCATTCTTAGGAAGCATTTGAAGTTTGCCACCTTTTCTGCCTCTTGAACAACGTGTGGGAGAACAGTCCAACAGGTATGTGCTACCATTGAGATGGTCTGCTTAGGTATTTTGCCTGGTGATATTCCATTGGCTGCCAAATTACCAGTTAGGCCTCTTCAGAAACAACTGAAAAGGTTTAGCTAGGAATCTTGGCCTCCAGTAGCCTGGGGCCGTGCATGTCAACAGCAAAAGCTTGAGGATAGCACAGAAATGAATAGGCAGTCACTGCAGTTCTTTTAAATACAGGTATAATATGTATATTTCTAGGTGCTCCATGGGACATCTCAGTTTCTGCATTCTGCACTAGGGGTAGCTTTCAAACCAGGCATAAGGGCAGCCTCATAATTTCATCTTTCAAAGGCCAATATGAGTTCAGTGTTGATATTTCTTTTTTTTTCCGGTAACACTGAACAACATGAAATGCTTTCCAGACAGAAGTGGCCTTCTGATTATTAAATACTTTGTTACCTGTTTAATATCCTATTCTTTGAATGCAGAAAAAGCCAAACCATGTGAATTTGAAGCTGACTGGGTGGACATGCTCTTAGGCAGGGTTGGTGTTGGCGTTTGGCATGGTTAGGCCATTTTGGGTGGGTGGACAGGTACAGTTGGGTCTTTGAGAATGAATTGTGGACATTCTGATCAAATGGCTTCTATGATAGAGAGCTTGCTAGGTCATAAAATGGCTGCCATGGTGGATAAAGCCAGTCACAGAACTTTCCAAACAGTAAACTGGGGAGACTAAAGGCAAAGTAACTTGCCTGAGAACCTAAGGATATGCTAGAGGTGGGCATGGTGGTCTGTGCTTCAAAACAGAAAACTGTTTTTTTTTTTTTTTATGCCCCCAAACAGTAGTGACTTCAGCACATCAAAAGTTGACATAAAGATGGCCTTCATATGCTTTAAAATGTGGGAAATGCAGCATCCAAAGTCTTAACTACATTTCTTCCCAACCATACTTATATCTATAGAACCCTTAGCTGTTTATTTGCTCTATAAACCATAGTAACTATAAAAAGCTGATGACTTGCCTTTGATGGTATTGCAGTCGTATTGATCTGTGTAAAAGCAAAATTATGTCTCAAATATTTCAGGACAGAAGTCTCAGTGTGAGAAGTCAGAGCAGCTCAGCAAGTGGAAGAAGTTCCATAGTTGGGAATGAAATAGAATGCCAGTTCTTTGCCACAGCACCATTGTTTTCCACTAGAAACTATGCAGCAGGACACTCCAATTTAAAGAGGTAGTATAGTGTAATAGGTTACTAACTCTATTCTGAGGACACAGGTGTATTTCTATGCACAAAACTCTTGGGTGGTTAATATGAGACTACAATTCGAAACATATTTATCAGGAAGTAGAAGCCGCTGAAGCTGGAATCCCACCCTTTCTAAATAGGTGATTAGCTGTGTCAGAAACTCCTTTCAGACACATCCATGGTTCATGCAGATATGTTCCTGTTCACTGATACATTCAGTGTGACATTGTTTATGTGTGAATAATGAGCTAATGCTTTGGGGATGTGGAGTGGGATTGAAATAATCACAAAGGTCTTTTCCATTTTGTTAGGCCCTCGCTGTTGGCTTGATAAGAAATGGATGAGCCCTTAATTTATCTTATTCGCAAATTGCATTGGGGTCCTTTCCTGCCTGCAAGAGCTCATGGCTTCTGATTTGGGAAAAGGCCCCATAATTGCCATGTGACTGCTCTTATGGTATTCACACATATGCCTGCATGGTGCATGAGCACATGATGGAAAGGAGCAAGTACTGTGACTTCTTTTCCCCAAGATTGTTCAAACCCACCTGCTGGGTGCTAGGCACAGCAAATCTGCAGTACAAGGAGGCTTTCTAGATGAGGGTTACTCTGTTTAATTATGGCACAGTGCTATTGAAGTAAATGCTTAGAAAGCACAGACATGGAGTAAATATTTGTCATTCTGCTATGTGGCTTGCTTATTAACAGAATAGTGCCAGTGTTTCGTTTCCTATGGACACTATTGTCATTCATTCTCCAGGCCTCCAGAAGCTTTTGTTTCTATCCAGTTGGAGAAACAGGGTCCACGAGATATGATGCTGAACACATTCATTGAAAAGAAACAAATCCTGGGCAGTAGAATGCAAAACCCTGTAAGTGTGTGAGAACATCTTTTAGGAATTGATAGAAAAGAACCTAAGGCAGCTTAGTATAATGATTATGTTTTGGGCTTTTGAATTGTAAGAAATATCAGTGTCATGCCATTCCTATGATCAGTTAAGGAGAATGCAAGAGTCAGTGTGTGTACATAAAATAAAGCAAAATATAATCAAGCCTAACATGTTGAAACCAGATAGGTGCAAGTGGAATCATGTGGCAGGGCTTTCCTGCCTCCTCCTTCCCACTGCAATCCCCATCACTTCCTAAAAGGCTGCTGTTAATGGTCACTTGAATGTATTGGATAGGCCATGAGGAGGGAGGGAGTAATCAGAATTCAAGAAGATGCCCTTATAGAAGCAGAAGTACTTTTCCACTCACAGGAGGCCCATTTTGAATTACTGCATTAGACAAATAGTTTAAATATCTATAGAATGCCTCTATGGGATATTTTTATATATTTAATGCACATAATTTTATATTAATAATTATGTATAACTGTGAAAATCTTACGTGACATCATTTGTTGTAGGATGAAGTTGAAAGAGTCAAAAGAGACGTTATTGCTGAATATTGTCATAAGTAAGTACACAAAATATATGCAGTATATCTCCCCAAGAGTAATATGCATGAAGTTTGTTTTTGCCATTATTGGTGTTTATAAAGCAACTTAGATAGTGGGCTTGACACTATATTTGTGCAATGGTGATGCTTCTTCGGTAGCAAAGAGAAGTCCAACCAGTCTGCCTAGAGCAGTGATGGTGAACCAAGTGCCCAAACTGCAACCCAAAACCCATTTATTTGTTGCAAAATGCCAACACTACAATAAAACCTGAAAACTGAGGTTTTAGTTTAGAAAAAACAACTCACAGCCAGTCCAAGCAATTATATATATCCTTGGCAGCACACTGAACAGCCATGCAAAAGCTTGGACAAGTCGCGGCTCATGAGTCGTAGCTCGTGACATCATCCCTTGGCACCCCTGCTCCTTTCCAAGCATGCGCGTGGCCCCTATGGGTGCGATGCTGGGGTGACTTGGCTCATGTGCTGACAGAGAGGGCTCTGTGTGCCCACTGTGGCACGTGTGCCATAGGTTCACCACCACTGTTCTAACCCTACCCTGGTGCACTCCCCTAACCATAATATAGGGGTAAAATACCATTGAAAGGGGTGATTTTGAAAACGCCTTCCTTGAGTAGTTTTTCCTGCATAGCTCATCATCTGTCCATTCTAAACACATTCCAAGCATCGAAATCATGCCAGGATGCCTCATTTTTCTAACCCAAACCCTACCCTGGTGCACGCCCCTTAGCCTAATAGAGGGTGTAATTTCCATAGAAAAGAGGGTGATTTTGAAAAAGCCTTCCTTGAGTAGTTTTTCCTGCACAGCTTATCATTTTTGCCCATTCTAAACACATTCCAACCATCAAAATCATGTGCGCTGTTATCCGATGCCCGGCTGCTGGGGCGATGCTGGGGCGACTTGGCTCGTGTGCTGGCAGAGAGGGCTCTGCGTGTCCCCTGTGGCACGCATGCCATAGGTTCACCATCACTGGCCTAAAGGATTGGGCTATTAAACTGATAGATAATATTTTAATACATCCACGGTGATAAGTCAAGAATAAAACATCCTGCTAAACTGTAACAAATCAAAACATCAAACATTCTAAAAATATTGAAACAATATTGTGGGGGGGGCAAGCAACCCCCCCATCAAAAAATTGGTGTAGTGGAGTGAGGAACTCAGCAGACTGAATCACTTTTGCTGATTCTTTTGTTACAGACCTCCAAATTCCCCGTTCTTTTGAAGCTTAGCTGCATTTCTACAGTAATTTGAGGAGAGATGAATTTTCCTTGCAATATATAGTTCTCTGTTGCAATGCAAAATATTTTGGAGTGATCTGGGCAGATATGGGCAGTTAAACCCAATTCACTTTACAAAAAGACCTGCTCTCATAGAGATAAAAACTAGATCAGAACATCTATCTGCAGTTTTGTACCGTCCTTGCATGGTATGACTATGCAGGCTGCCATGATGAGCACCCACACTTCCAAATTCATTCTGTATCCCTGCATCTAAATGGATAAAAATCAATAAATGGAACTCTTGAAATGTTTGAGGTAGCACACACATGAATAAAGTAAAAATATGGGAAGTAAATTACCACAGTAACTGTTAGGCTTCTCTGTCTTCAAAAAAGAGATGTTAGTGTTATCAAGGTAGGAAAAGCATCCTGAGAATTCTGAATAAAGGGTGAAATGAATCACCTAGTACCCCTCACTCACCTCCAGTTTTTTTTACAAGATTGATTACACCTCCTACAGTACTATTTGCCAATCCTCTGTGTGCCATATCAATATGCATTTCTCAGAAATTTCCCAGATATACAGAGTAGTGAGGGAGAGAGGGAGAGAGATTTGGAGGAAATGTTCTAGTTTATCCCATGGCGCCAGTTTATTTTAGGACTATCAATAAGCACTCTTGCCTTAGGGGCACTCTGATAAACTTTATGAATAGCCTCAGAAATCTGATAGGTATACACTTTCACACCAATCCTACTCCTCCCACATTGAAAGGAGATACAAACAGCTTAACCAGGTTGCAGCAATAAGCAAAAGCAAGTGTGGACAGACCCATCGCATATCCAGTGTCCAGGCCAGCTTTGATGAAATGGCAGTTTGCTTACTAAGATGGATAACTGAAGTTTGAACTCAGTGGCTGTAGGAAGTTAGCACTTAAAATCTTTCTTGTTCACAGTGCATCCCAAAGAGGGTTTCTAGTGGGGACTGGGAGGAAAAACTGGGTTGTTCTTGGGTTGCTCTTGTTGGGTACCGGTGGTCTCCAATCTGCAAACATCCCCCCAATTGCTAATCCTAGTCCAGAGGGAGAGTTCCCAACCCACCTTGCTGCCCCTTATGATCATTTTGTTCATCCTTTAGTCCACAAAATATTAATTGAAGCTCTAATGCGATCTACACTTAGCAGAAAGTGACAAGTAACTCAGTGGGATTTACTTCTCAGTAGATAATAGGATTTCACAGAGAATGAGTGGAAACGTACTTTACAACATCCCCATTCCCCACTTGGTTAGGTAGATTTCATAGCCTGCCTGGCTAAGACTGAAACTGACACTTTGGAATGCATCACTTCACCACTGATGCTATGAAAGCCTTATGTGGATGGCTCAGGGGAATGCAAGAACACTGGCAGGATGGGATATTGGATTCAACAGACTGCAAGACATTATGCCTCTCCAGGTGTAAAAATTATATGACTGCTTTAAAACTAAAATCAACAATGGGAAGTGTATATAGTTGTCATTGATCAAATGAGGGATGCCATTATACATCACTAATGCTGAAAAGACAAACTATTTTGCAATATGCAGTTCATCCATTCCTAGCAGAAATTATGGGTTTTCCTCTTTTCCAATATTTAATAAATACCACTTTACATTTCAGTGAAAGAAAATAATAAAGCAGCAAATGCTATAAAATATTTTCTTGGTACTGTTTTAGGATGAACCATCGTATATCCCAATACTCTGTTCGAAGTCAGATCATTGCATATTACAACAGTATAAAAACGATGTTGGATGATTTCCCCAATGTGAGGGCCAAATACTTCATTATAGGGTTGCCACAAGAGAAAAAAGAAGAAAAAGAATTGAAAGAAAAACTTAAAGATGATTTCAGGTTTGTAGAGAGTTCAAAATGTTTCAGGTTATCAGGGTTTTTAATCTTGGAGCTTTACAAATCGAAAAGGATGCTTTGCCAACCATTTTAAAAATTATTTTGAATATCTATACTTATCAATATAATCATGATTGTATTATATATTTATTACTTGTATATTGCACTCTACCTCCAAGGAGTTCAAGGCAGTATACATTGTTCTCCCCTTGCAACACTCTTCTGTTACTTTATTCTCACAACAACCCTATGACCGAGACTGAAGTTAGGCTGAGAAAGAGCAACTGGTCCGAAGTTCAGCACTAACCATTACAACCTGTTTACAAAGGTCATGAGATATGATGGAAAATTCTGCTTCTGTTTATACAGAGGGAGGTTTATATAGGAAATGATAAGTGAATAAAGTGTGTATGCTCCCTTCTCAGACTGGGCTGAACATTCAGGAGCCCAAGAGTGTAAAGTACCACTGGTAAAGAGGGGGGCAAGTTGCTTGGGGTGGCTACTGTAATTTTGTCTGCTGTAATATAAGTTTTATCGTACTTATATTCATTCTGGAAAGCTTAGGGCAGCTTCTAGAGCCTTGAGTGGACCTGTCCCAACATTTCATAACTTCCACAGTGTTAAACCATCACATGTACCCAGATGTCTCTCACACAGCTGGACTTATGCTAAGGACAGCTTTGTGCTCAAGTGTGTGTAAAGGTGGCATACACATAAAAGAACTAGTGGAGGTGATACTAATTAATGATAATCCCTGCAATAGTTGATATTATGTTGTTATTTTATATCAGATGTAGGGAACCTCATTCAACCCAAGGGACAAATTCAGTTCTGGGAAAGCTCTCTGGGGCCATGTTTTAGTGGCTAAAAAGCAAAATATGAGGGACCAAAACCAAAACTGTATATGATCTTAAGGCTCGTATTGCTGGTAAATAAACCTCAGGAAAGGCATTTTCAGTCTTTCACAATGGAGGAAAACAGAACAAAATCTGAGAGCCCATCAAATCTAAGAACCCATCAAATACTAAAAAAAAAAAAAAAAACCCTGCTAAAAAAGCAGTTTCAATAAGATATTGAGCCCTGATAAAACAACTTTTTAAAATTAATGTATATGATGCAGACATACCATTTCATGAGACTCTTGGGTGCCCCAGGCCTCTGTTGCACAATTGGACAAGTAATCCAGCTTCCTTCTATAACCACTCAGATCATTCCAGCCACGACCCCATTGCTTGCTGTCTGCTGATGGACAATCCTTTCTGAACCTGTGGTTCATTCCTCACTCTTCTGAAGTCCTCTCTCTGTTTAAAATGTTACCGGAGAAGGTAAGTATATCTACAGTCTTGAATGAAAATTTTTTAGTGAAACTTTTTAATTTTATTTGGTCCTTTTTGTGTACCCAATATTGAAAATATGCATAATCTTGTTCATAACAGAAGGTGGAAAGTTGGCAACGGAATTAATTATATGCATTGTGTTCAGGTGCTGAAATGTCTTGGTTTCTAAAATGATGGGAGGCAGAGATAATCTAAGAAATTGGGTGAAGCTGGAGATAATCTTAGAAATTTGAGACCTGAGGTAGAAAATCCAAATGGATAATAACTGTTGGACAGTTATCATTTGTTGGGTAATAACTGTTGAAAATTGGTTACTCCCTGCCCTTTAATGGCAGGGCTGGTTCAGTCTTGGACACAGTATAGGTAATTTCCCAGGGATGCAAATAAATTATTGAATGAATGCATGCATGCATGCATGCTCTACTTTCCAGTCAAGGCTGTCTCCCATTTGTTGTTGTAGTTGTTAGTCGCAAAGTCGTGTCCGACCCATCGCGACCCCATGGACAACACTCCTCCAGGCCTTCCTGTCCTCCACCATCCCCCAGAGTCCACCTAAGCTCACACCAACTGCTTCAGTGACTCCATCTAGCCACCTCATCCTCTGCCGTCCCCTTCTTCTTT